AAACAAGTCGAGCCGAATCTTTTGCTGTTGTTGTTGTTGTCTAGGTGCCCGTAGTTTGGCCCTCCTTTTGTCCGTCGTTTGTGGCTTCTTCCGTCTCGAGTTGTAAGAAAGTCGAAAATAACAAAGTCTCTCTTTTTTTCATCAAACGACGCAATAAGAGGTCACTAAGTGGATATAAAATAAGCTGCAACCTATAAAGCCGAAAAAAGACAAAAAAAATTGAAAAAAAAAATGAAATTTTAACAAACTGAGTTTGTAAAATTACAATCAACATAAAAAGCAAATTTCGAGCATTTTTGGCGCCTCTGAAATTTTTTATACATTTTTTTAGCAAATCGAAACAACCCTAATAATAAGCCTTCCTAAACCATTGAAAACTTGCCTCTGCCCCCCAGGTAAAGTTCAGAGAAAGTACGGCGAAAACGCATGTTTGGTTAACTTTCTGGACAGTTTGTTGGATCGCGCGTCTCAGTGGTTTTTTGGTTTACAATGGGCGTGGTAATATAGTATCTTTGGATGGCGAGAAGGGTTTCCCCATTTTCCAAACCTTCCCCTGAAATAGAGTACAGTAGTAGCTCAGGGGCATAAATCTTCAGGCTAAAAGCCCAAGTTTAGCGTTGAATACTAAGCTGCATTTAGTGTTCTCGAAGGGGTTTCCAAACATGGCGCTTTTAGTGAAGATTTCTGCCATTTGTTTAAAAAGCCTTTGGATCCACAAGATTTGTTTAAAAATCCCTTGGATTCAGTACAGATCCAGCCTTTGCATCCAAAACATAAGAACCAGACCTGTCAATTCAAGGTTAAAAAAACATGTTCAATTAAATTCCCTCCTGCCCACAAGAGAAATAAAAGCCCGAAAGAGCAAATAAAAACCCTAATTTAACTAAATCAAGAAGAATGAAAAGAAAAATCAGACAAACAATTGAGAGCTTTGCTAATCGAAGCACCATTCAATTTTAGTTCACCTGTTCTATTGAAACAGGTCGCAGCACAGCAACCACTGCTGAACTTCTATTCAAAATTTACTTTCCCAACAGTTAAAATTTTGTTCCCTCCTCCGAATCAATTTTGCAAGGTCTGCAGCAAATTTTACAGCCCAAATTATCATGAAGTTGTGATACTCTCATCTAAGCCAAGCTCCATTTGGATTTCAAATTGAACTGTTTCTGATTTGAATTTTTAAAATATTTTTATTATTTTTTTAAAAAGTCAAAATCAAAAAGCAATCCTGTCATGGAGCGTCAAGGAGTTTATTTTAGATTAGGAAAATTGCAATAAAATCAGGATTTTCGAAAATATTGTCGACTTTTTCTAGGTCGATCAAATTGATTTTCGGAGCTCGAGCTCTCCGAAATCACAAAAAAGGCGAGATTTTGAAAGTTTTTAGCGCTTATTGGAATTTTTTGACGAAAAATCGTGCTCTTTTGGATCGCGCTCCCTCTCAAAATTAGCATAAATTGGCGCCGAAATTGTTTATAAATTTTTTAAAGTCTGTTTGCCAAAAATGGAGGTCACAAGCAAAGTAGTGCCAATGGCGATGGGTTCCAATCCCTGAAAGAGGCGTCCACCCCCTCCCCCCCCCCCCCCCCCCCCCCTACATCCGCTACAGTATTCACTCTCGATTTTCTCACTTTTTATTATGATTTTTATTAAGCAAGTAAGCGCTTATTTCTAGCCTAACTTGGACGAATTAGTTCTCACAAATGGTAAATAAGAGGTTTGAATCCCATTTTTTAATTACAATTTTTTACCTAGTTTTGTATTTTTTTTTGCTTTTGCTGGCTAAGTTTAATTTTTTTTTCATATTATTATGAGTATTTTGTTACTTTTATTATCACTTTTTTTAAAATGTAATAATTTTTTATTATTGTTATCATTATCATTACTATTGTTCCGATTTCGGAATATTTATGCTTGGGCAGGGTTTTTCATATAGTCAATTTTTGACGAGAGTTTTATAAACTATCTGAAAGATATTGCTATTCGGAGTTCAAATGTTAGAAAAACATATTTCACCTGAGATCATTTTTCCCGTAAATTTATGGTGGTTTAGAAATTGCTGAATTTGGCCAATTTGGGATATTTAACACGCGATATATTGCGTTCTTGTAACATGGGTTCTTTGAATTGAGGCAAGCCTTTTTGTCTCATTATTCAGACAGACGCTAAAAAACACTACTTTGTAGTTCACATTAGCGTCTGGTAGAACAAATTGAAGACAAAAAGTTATTAACTTTTTTCATTATATTCGAGGATTTCGTCAATTTTTCAACCAAAAAGCTTTTTAACTGTCCTTAAAGTGCAGTCGTATCATGCAGGGCTTCGCTCTGATATACGAGTAGTCTTGTTATAATTGATACATGTGTTTTATGGTTATCATGGCTATTGTTCCGACTACGTAGATTGAAGGAGCTTACAATCCAATTGTTTTTCTACGCAAAATCAGGTACAGTAATCAATTCCAGATGACGTAGGTTGATACATCATATTGAAGGCCTATCATATGACATTTTGAGCTGTATACAAAATTCGGAACGTTTTAACAGTGTCGAATCCGTCCCCGTCCCCCCCCCCCTAAATCCGCTACTAAATGAAACTGTAATCAAATCCTTCCTTTCCACAAAAAATAAACAGAAATTGGTCAGATTTCTGAAAAAAAAAACTAAAATCATTTTTTTCTTCATCTTTTAAGGATTTTTTCTGCAAAGTTAAGCGTGGTGGGAATTTTCTGTGGTATTTGAACAGCAACCTACCATTTTTATTTTTGTTTTTCCTACTACTTATGGATAGAGAACGAAGTTTGGCCTATGGCTAAAATGATGCAACAATTCTTTACACTGCTGAGAAAACTCAGACTGATTATTTTGTTTGAAAAGTTTTTGAATTTTTTTTGCTATGATTGCTGTACTGTAGTGTTATTGGAACTTTTCGTCCTTCATAGAACTGACCATTTTTGTTTATTTTTGATGATTATTTGTTGATATTATGAAATAAAAACAGAGAAATCATGAAAAAAAAACTGTTAAAGCATGTATTTTCTCCGAAATATCTCTCTCTCTCTCTCTCTCTCTCTCTTTGTTTCAAGTGGCCTCTAGAATTTATGACTAAGCTTAGAAAGGCCTTTGAGGTTTCAGACGAGCCTCAATTTTGACGGCGGTTATCATGTTTGCGCACTGCTGCCGCACCCTGTTGGCATTGAGGTAATGGAATTGTGAACTAGTCTGACTAGTGGTTATTCACTGCCAGAGTTTTCTCTAGTTGTTTCTTTCCTCCTCCAATTTCCAAGAAAGCAAAACAAAATATAGCCCGGATTGAAATCCAGTTTAGGCGATTTATACCTTTTCCGGTTATTTCTACTGTTTCTTTTCCGCTGTTCCATATGATTGAATTATTATGATAGCTGACTTTTTTTAGACAAAACTGATGGGACCTCAAAATGATTTTGTTTTTCTAAAGTTTTAAAAAACCTTGTAAAAAAGCTTGCTGTTTTTTTTGGTTGTTTGGTCACAGAACCAGAACTTTTGCAAGATAACCTTTCGGCAAATGTGGTAAAAGTTCATAAGCTACTGCATGCCCGGAGTGTAGTTTTAGCTGAAACGTTTCAAATGAGTTTCTACTTTTAGCAAAATAAAAGAGTAAAACGGTGGTCAAATTTGTACCGGCGGCAAAGAAAATACTGGTCAATTCAGATCAATTGGAATTACTTTCAAGTTTCAAACATTTGCTCAAAATTTGCTCTCGGCTTGAACCTCAAAGTTCACAAATGGTAATTAGGAGGTGGAAAAAATGTTGGTAATATTACCATCAGTTCATCATGCTGCTTTAAGCAGAGAGATGAAGCAGCAGAAACAAAAAAAATGAAATGTTTTAAATCAAAACGCCATTGAACCAAATTGTTAGGCGCAAATTGGTTCTGTTTTACAAAATAAGGACTTTTCCAAAGTTTTCAAACCAATTTTTGATTAAGATGGGTTCCGTCTGTTTTTTTTTGTAATTTTCAATTTAGAGGATGTTGCTCGGGTGGCGAATAGCACGCGTGGGATTTGGTTATGATAAAATTAATTGTTACAGTAAAAGGTAAAGGTAGACTTGCTGCTAGTATTGGTATTATAAATTGGCAATCTTCAGATATATATTTTCTTCTACTGAGTTCACTTAGTTCGATTTGTCTGCCTGTGGTAATTGTGTTATGTAAACTGAAAGAGCGGCTTTTGCGGCTTGTTTTGCGGAGCGATCGTTTCAAACGTAGATTTGACGACACTGTTTGCTGAGACGACAAGAGGCCGCTTTCCTTTCTTTTGACCGCTAAGGCGAACTTTAAGCCCACCTAGAGCACTACCGCCATTACCACTGCCGTAATAAGCACAACCATTACAGCCCAAATCCTTCCACCGTTCACCCTCGCCCCAATTACGATAAACTAATACTTTTGTATATCAGCATGAAAGTGCCCACTTCTAGATTATGATTCGCCAGTTCCTTCTTAGAATGCCAAACTCTATATTGCTGCTGATGCCGCTCAGCTAAAGGTAGGTGGTGATCAGTTAAAAGCTTTTTAATTTGAACTCATCCCTCATCATCTTAATAAATTTATGACTGTTTACTCGGCATTAAATGATTACTGTTTTATTTATTTTAATTTTTAAAACAATTTTCTCTGGCTGTCGTCTATTTTATTTTTACATTGCGCGGATTTTTTTGTACAATAAATTTGTAGTTGAGGGGTAAAGATGTTTCATTGTTTCGACCACTATCGAACAAGTGAGACGAAACTATAGCGTAACTCGCAGGGGTCAACTAAGGTAGTAGTATGAAATTAAAGCCTTTTTAGTTGTGATTCGGATTCATAAAAAAAATGAAGAAAAAAAGTATCATAAGTATATTTTGTTCATTTTTTTGCAACGATATCTATGGTCAAAACGTTTTTGATTAAATGTGAAAATACTTGGTGTGTTTGACTTTCGAAGTGTCAGCTGGACTGATTTTGAGGTTTGCTCTAGCATTGGTTGCTTGTGAGAAGCGAAATACTCTTGGGTTGTGTCCTACTTCTCTAGCTACTTCTCATTCTGATTCTATTTCTAATGTGCTCACTGAGAACTACCTTTTATTGGTGGCCGCGGCTGCTTCTGCTAATCGAACCAACAACATCATCAACAACAATAATAACAACAACCGTTTCAAATTGAGGACTGCACCGCCCCCTCTGATCATTGGCTCTTCTCACCCCTCCTCCCCCTCAAGATCCTCGGAAGCCCTTCATTGTCACAACTACAGTTACCATAGACCCACCCAATTGCCCCGCTCAGTCCATATGGGCGATCCTAAAGCCCCCTCTGTCCCTACGGTCTTCACGGCAGCTACTCTTCTTGGACTGAACTGCAATCCAAGCTCGGATTCTATCTACAAATCGACCCCCTTCTCCAATCCCAGACTCAAACTCCACCCCCCTAACGGACCCCCCAATCAGTCCGCGGTCACAGCTACTGCCCTAGAGGACATTCGGAGGGAAAGGTCGCTCAATAACTCCTCGTCTCACAACAATTCCAACCAGGTCACTACTTCATCTCCTACCTCTATCCATTCTATCCCTAGAGCACCCCCCAAAGCCAAAAACCCACCCTCGCCATTGTCAGTGCCCGTAGCCCCTCCCCCATCAAAACCTGCCTCCAAATCGCCCGACCTCGACGAGAGCCCACAGTGGGAGGAATGTGGTAACAACCCCGCCTCTGTCAGCTCGAATTCAGACGCAACAATTGTGAAGCTAAACTCCGAAGGAAAGTTAAACTCCCCCGGCTACCCAAGCGCAGAGCAAAAACGAACACATCCAATGGATCAACCGAATAGCATTAGAAAACCGACCCGACTCAGTTTAGGCGAAGCCTCGCCCTTTGGAAATGGAGGACCCTTCTCGGAACCGATGATCGCCGGTTCGAATCCCGAAAATGTTCGCTCTGTAGACGCCTCTCCACGCAACCTGAAAATGGAGCCCAAAAGTGTGCAGTTTTATGAGAACTATGACGACAACTGCCTTCCGCCGAACAAAAGGCGTCGGCGATTTTCAGTAACAGCTGCTGACATACCCATGCCCCCTCTATTGCTCGAACCCGGCTCTATCGGGGCTTCATCTGGGGATTACAACTCACCTCCGGGGGGTATGGACGACGAAGACTACGACAGGGATTCCCCTCCCCAGAGTCCGCTGGAGTTGACGGAAGCTGACTCGCCTTTAGTTCCGAGGAAGCGAAGAAGACATTTGTTGGGTAAAAACGGGGAGCCGCTGGGTGTGTTAAAGTGTGCCATATGTGGTGATTCTGCTTCCGGCTACCACTACAACGCGCTCAGCTGCGAAGGTTGCAAAGGTAAGCTGCACTCCCCTCTCCCATCGTCCAGTGACCAAAAATTGGTGATCATTCATAAAACTTGTCGGTCCGACCAGGCTATAAACATTGACGGAAAGCAAATAAAATTTAGATGAAAAGTCTGAAAACTTTAGCACCCAACATAGTTTTTGTTGTAGTAACCCTCTAGCACAAAACAGCGGCTTTTACCTGTTGGTTGATTTGTATCAATACCGGTCTGTCTAATATAGGCAGAAGTCTGCTTGAAAGTTACTACTGACGGACCTCCCCTATTTCGATTTTCAGAAATTCAACTTTGGCGGCCACATTTGCAATAGCTTAAAACAATTTTCAGATTTTTCAGAAAACAATATTTAAAATTTTTTACGTGGGTATTATATAAATAGTGAGTAATACAAATACGAACGCGCGAAAACGAAAACCCACTTAATTGTTGACGTTTTTGAAATGCATATTTTATACAGAAATGGTTGTCAAAAATAATACATGCATGAGGGGGGGGGGGGAGGGGGGTAGTTTACAAGGTCCAAAAAGGGGGGGGGGATAGTTAAGAAGATCCCTACGGCTCTTAAATGGTATCAGACAATGTTGCAGTTTCAATTCTACGTGACATTTAAAATTTTATGTTTAATAAGCTTCGAAGTGAAAATACTATTGCTTGGGTTACTATTGTGTATTCAAATAATTGAAATGTTACTATTGTTGAAAATATATGTTACATGTTTAACCACAGCTTTCGGAGGTGCTGGCAAATTTTATCAGCAAATGCCAGGAAAAAATGCAATTGTAATTCGAGTTTATTTTCGATAATTTTAAAAAATCAATTTATCTATCCTATAGGCTTTCCCCTGAGAAAACGCGATGAGCAGATTTTACCAAAATACCAAATAAAAAAAACATGGGTTGATAAAAAAAACGAGAGTGCAACGTGAACGAACAGGCGCCCGATATCACCGAATAGTGTTCTCTTATTGCCTTACCCATCACTCCATCTTTTGTGTTTCTATAACAGTCGTAGAATATCTTTACCCTCTCTTTCTCCCTGACATACGACACCAAGCGGGTGCATTTGTTTCCTTTGACCGCGTGATCGAAAAAAAAGTGCGATGAATTTTAAAACAGGGCAAATGAAATTGAAATCTTCTATCGTCAACCGCTAAGCCTGGTTTCATTTCCTGTTTCCCGCCACCACTACGCCTACGACTGAGTGCAAATCAGTACGCTGTATTCCCCTTTATTCCCCCCGCTAAAGGGTTTGATCTGTTTTGAACCAAACACGACCACGAGCGGGTGTATAATTTAGCCGCATTTGGAGTAGTTGTACTAAAAGACAAAAAAATGTATTTAAAGTTCAATCTCACCTCAGTCTTACCAACGCACGGAATTGAATCGGAGAGGAAATCAAAATAGAAAAAAAAACATTTCACTGACTTGATTTTCAGAATTGAATTCATACGGCCTAAAACAGAAAAATAAGGAAAAGCTGCATTCACATGCACATCTATTATTGGGATAAACGGCTGAAAATAAATTTTCAGTTACCGTTTGAACTTGCAGAGGAAATGAGGTACATTTATGTCAACTATGCTTTTTTGAGACCAATTTCGTGTATAAAAATAGAAAACGTTGCCATATTTCACACCAAGATTTCAAATCTCTATGCCTGACTATTTCTACGGAAGTTACAGACGTTTTAAAACTTCGATTTCTCAAATTTGATTGATTGATTGATTGATGCGCATTTCATTACAACTTTTAATTATCGGAACACAACACGGGTGGTGTCCCCCTCATGGATGGAAGGACCGAATGATGGGTTTTTTTAAATTATTTTCAGCCGATCTGAATTGAGTATTTAAAAATCTCAAAGAAATTGCGAAAATCTCAAAGAAAGCGAATAAATCCAAGCCTTGGAAACTAATATAGACCGATTAGAAAATAAACAGATACACGAATTTAAAAATATCGCAAAATCGAAGGCGGTTGTTGGGAAAAACCTAAGACCGATTTAGAAAAAGTGAAACAAACAATTTTTTTTGTATATCTGCATCACAACTTTTCTGTGCTTCTAAAGCTCATATGCTGTTAAAAATGACTTCGATTTTCTGCAAAAATCAGTTAAAGAATAGGAACGTCTAACGTTTCGAACATCTAGAAACTAAATTTGGGGCGTTACGGCAGTCTGTCGATGTACAACAGTGTCAAAAAATTTTCCTAAGTCGAAAATGAAAAATTTTGCTCAGCAATGCCGAAAAACGAAAAAATACTTTCGAAACCTTGATTTCTGAATGATAACAGGTCAAGCACAAATTTTTTCAATTTCTCCCTATTTTTTTTGCTTTTCCTCACCAAAAAACGTAATAGGACTTTTTAATTGTCAAGCTACTTGAAAATTTATTTGAAAAGAACTCCAAAATTATCACCGATTGGTTTCGTTAGAACAAATTAAGGTTTCAAAATGTTTTGCGCATTTCTAAAAACTGGTTTGACAGACATTACTCATTAAAATTAAGTGGAAATTGTTTTATCTGCAAGCTTCAGTTATCACCACGAAAAGTTGTTATTTTCCCATGGCGAGAAACAAAAATCTAGAAGCTGTATCAAAGTTTTTTGATAATAGAGACATAACATCATAAACTAAAAAAAAATTAAAAACAAATCTAGGGGGTCCAGCGCTTATTTTGCCCGTAAGAAAAAATCCTGAACAAAACTGGTTGGTAACCAAACATTATGGATAATTTTTTCATTACTTCATTGGTAATTGATTACATTCTTAACCGGGGGCTCGATAAAATTCTTGTCTCTTTGCTTGAAAAAATTGGATAGCGTTCTGAGTCATTCGCAAAATCTTGTAAAATTCTGACAAAATTATCGCGCAAAAGCTTGTGTTGTTTTCTCTGATATAAAAATCTGTTTGTATCAGGGCGGAGTGTTATCTACTGAAAAATCCTCCTTTAAATAGAATTTTTTTTATTGTTGCCTAATCAAGGCAGCGTTTTTTCTTAAACATGAATTCTATTTGTTTAATCTACCAATTTATTTAATTTAGAGGCCTCTTTTTTTTGAGAATTCTGATTTTCTCGCATTTCGATCAATCAAAAATTTTTCTTTTTTGTAACCACCTAAAAATCTTTTCCTATTTCTTGTGGGGGGTCGGGCGGATTTAAGGAGCTGCGGGGGGGGGGGGGGGGGGCGGACGCCCCCTCTCGAATTCGACCCAAAGGGTCCTCCCTTTGTACTATTTTGAGATGTCCATTTTTGGCTGACTGACCCTAAAATTTTCTAAAAAGTGCGTAAAAACGCCCTTTTTGGCCTGTTTTTTTCAAAATTTTGCCTGCGGCGCAGAAATTTTGGCAAAAACAGGGCCTTTGTAGTGCTTTGGGAGAGCTCAGAAAATCAAATTGGTCGACCTAAAAAAAGGTCGACAAAAATTTCGAATTTTTTTTTGAAAATCCGCCCCCCTCGAAAAACAGCTCAAATATGTTTCTATTTTGAACTGATAGTATCAATTATTTCAGTTTGTATAAAAATCTTCCCTTCAAAGTCGCTACCTAAAAAAGAGATTTTTTTCTGCTGAAAAGCACAAATATGTAACACTTTCTTGGAAAGTTGGAACAAAAAATGCAATAATTCATGTTCATGATTCGACCACTCTCGAAGACCGGGAATTGCATGCGGCACTCGTTGTGTTTTATCCGCTTGATTGAAAAACTTCTCTTTTCTTCAAATAGCTCGTAGTAAATCAAGTATGATAGCGAATTGAAGCAGTTCCGGTTGTCTAAGAAGAAGTAGTCTAAGCGTCGAGAGCTGATATTTTTTACGATAATTTTTTTCAAATGTCCCATTAAATTCTCAAGATGATGGCCATTGATGTCCATTTAAAAACAATTTAAATAAATTTAATTTTTCATTTAAATTTCAATTTATTGAAACATAAAATTATGAGCGCACTCATTTTAAATGATAAATTTTTAATTGAAAAAAATTGAAATTGCTCCAACGGGATTCAATCCGACGCCAAAGTACAAAGTTTACTTTTGTCAGTTAATTTCACAGTTTTGCGGAAAAAGCAAATAATTTGAGTTTTTACAAAACTAATTAATTTGTGTAGCCATTATATATTCCCGAAAATATGCTTTAGAATTCTTTCCCACAATTGGCGAAAAAGGCATTTATGGCAGAAAAGTTATTTTTATAGACTGTTTTAGACGTGGTGCGTAATGAACAGTTGTTTTTTTGTTTTTTTTTTTCATTTTTTTTGTTCATTTGTGATCTGCTCTGTGTAGGTTTCTTCCGGAGGAGCATCACGAAGAATGCGGTGTACAAGTGCACGCGGGGTGGCCAGTGTGAGATGGACATGTACATGCGACGAAAATGTCAGGAGTGTCGCCTCAAAAAGTGTCGCGAAGTCGGCATGCTACCCGAGTGTAAGTCATGACGCAAAATGAGAATCCGAATTCAATTGTGTGTTACCGAAAAACTTCAGAGATGTTTAGGCACAAGCAGAGTATTGTCCCGCTTAAAGCGAAAGCGGCCGATCAAGCAGTATAAGCGAAGCGGTAAAATCTATCGCGAATTTTCCACAGCAATAACACAAGCGGTAAAGCGGGCGGTTTGAATTTTCAAATTTCAAGAAGTTAACCGAAAAGGATTGCAGGATTTTTTAAAAACTTAAGCTCAAGGAGTCGATATCTGTATTTGAACATATTTTTTGAGGAAAACTATTTTAACCGCTGAAATGGTCTCAATAAAAAACCCAGGCATATAAAATCGCTGCGCTGTTCATTAATCGTACAAAAGTTTCTTCTCAGCTCTGCTTCATTGTGAAGAAACTTTCCATAGTGAAATTTGCGAAAAAGATCAAGCAAATAAGCGGTACACTTAGCTAAGCGAAAAGCGATTTTTAAAAAAGCGGCGATTGCTAAAAGCGGTTTTAAAAAGCGATGACAATACTCTGGGTACAAGTATGATTGTTCGGTCCGTGAAAAAAGCAAGTCTGAAACATGGGTTCTGTGAAATCAAAAACACAAATAAACAAGCGCTGTCAGATTTATCGAGTGTACCTAAGATCGACAAACCACACTTTGAAAAGACATAATGCCTCAAAAATATTTAAGATAAATATTTTATTCATCTGAATGTCCCAAAGCTTCATTCTAGAATAAAATCTATTCGAATACTCTGAACTTCTTGTACTGCTTCATGTTACTGTTTTGAAAGCGTCAGTCCAGATCGATCGCAAAGTTAACTTGTTAAATGTGTGATACTTTTTTGTATTTTGTCAGCTATTCCAAAATAGAGACGGTTTAATGTTTTAGGCTTGCTAACCCCAGAACAGTGCAGATCGAAGCGTCAACGAAAAATGTTGAAACAGCAGCAGTCGGGAGGTGCTGGATCCTCGGGACTCAACATGTCACCCTTGGGCGGGTCGGGAGGGGTGAACCCCTTGCGGCACTACATGACGTCATCAAATGGAATGGGGACAACACAGCACCACCTGTCACAACAGCAAAACCAGGGGAGCTTCGCGGCGGACCCCAGTCCCTCCCCCAATTCTAGTTCGGGAGGCATGCGCACCCCAGAAAACAACACTTTTAGTCTGTCCCAGTTGGGAGGAGAGATAGGGGGTAACTCCTCTGTTCAAGGTGCAAATCAAGGCGGCTCTTTGGGATCCTCAGTCATCGGCAGGGATTGCAGAGGCGGCGGTGCCAGCGACTCCTCGACTGTCTACAGAGGCGGCGATGGGTCCAACCTAAATCACTCAGGTATGTCCATCTCAGAGAGTTCTAACCACACTGAACAATCTCTAGACTCAAATATACAGCGTTTATTTGCTATTGGAAAGAAAATAGAGCAACCAAGATTCTATAACTCAATTTAGATAGATTGTTTGAGTTGATTGTTTTTATATATAAACTTGAGTTTATATTCATTAGTAGCTGTTAGAATACAGGGATCTATGGCATCCCTCTATGGTAATCCCCATCTCGCAAGAGGTTGCATAATTAGAGAGATCAGACGACTAGTGTGTGTGTGTGTGTGTGTGTGTGTATGTGTGTGTGTGTGTGAGGGTGCGTGAACTGTAGTTAAAGAGACCCTAATACAGCAATTTAAAGTCGAGAAATCAGAAGAATGCAATTCGTTGTTTCATTTCAGGAACTTTTGCTGGCGAAGAACCGAAAAGTGGACAACTCAGCAGCAGCAGCAACAGTAGCACAGGAAACACTTCTAGACTACCTCACTTCTCAGGAAATCTGAACCAGCGCCACAACAACTCGAACAACCCAACACAGCCTCCTAGCCAAACAAACCACTCAGGGCACCAACAGCAGCAAAACAATGTGAACTACGGGGGGCTCAACCCAAGCCCCACCCACCACAATAACAATATCAGCAACAGCAACAACAAACATCCCTCATCCGGATCCGCAGTCGCCGCCGCCGTCGGGGGGACTACTGCTCCCAACTACAGCCCACTCCCCATGGCAGGCGTGTCGGGAGGGGGTATAGGGTGCACAGCCACGGTCGCAGGGGGAGTTAGGGACACTAATACTGCTTTAAATCTGATAGAAGAAGACCAGGCTAATTTGATCAAGCGCATTCTGCACGCAAAGAGGACCTACAGCTTCCCAGCCAGTGAAGACATTTTGAAAGTCACGGTGAGATTGAAATGATCAGTTTTCTTTAAAAAAGCGAAGCGGTGCGTTAGATTACGATATCATCAAAAATGATTATTTAATTGTTCAGAGATTTGCTAAAAATGCATGTGGCCGGCATCTTTCTATTAAAGCAATGTTGATGTCTCTACACGGCATGATAACATCTTCCAAACTAACTCTGCGTTTCAGATGTATGCACTATTCATTGCAATTGGTATGCTTCGACGACTTGCAAAGCAACTGGTTATCTTATGATTTTTTATTTGCCTTTCAATTTCGATAAAGAGCTAAAACATTCTGATTCTTTTTCAAATTTTCCTGAGCTCTGGCACATTGTCTGGACCTCACAGGTATCAAGTAACGATCACATCACGTTAGTCTCGAACCGATGACCTCTAGCTTGAAACTCAAATAGAGTAGGCTCTTAACTACAACAACTGTTCAATGTCAATTGATTGGAAAACAACTTAGGAGTCTAGTATTGTGTGTTTAGCCGTGGCCTGGCCTGCCGGGGGAGGAGGAGGTAGATGAGATGGGGGGCGGGGGAGTAAGTGTGGAGGAGCAGGCGAAGAAGCGTTTCCAGCACATGACAGAGATCACTATTCTGTGTGTACAGGCCATAGTCGAGTTCACCAAGCGCATCCCCGGCTTCCTCTCTCTGGAACGCAAAGACCAGATAATCCTGCTGAAGTCGTCCGCAATTGAGGTAAGTGATATTGAGTCATTGTAGTTGATGTTGTTGTTTTTGTTGTTGTTGTGGTTGTTTTTGTTGTTATTGTGGTTGTTTTTGTTGTTGCTGTTTTTGTTGTTGTTGTTGTAGACACTTAGTCTTTGCTTCTGGATGTTTGGTTTTCTGCTCGAAGTCATCGATATTGCCTATTTTAACTACAGTGCTGATTTGAGTTATCCAGAAAAAACGAATAAAACTTGAAATTTAAAACAAGTGTTTTCCGAATTGGGTTGACTGAAGACAAAAAAAGATGAAGATGAAACTTGCTGAGAATTTCAGCAAAAATAATATCATGCAATTGATTTTGCGAAATTCGGGGCCAATTTTTTACCTCAAAAATGACCATTTTCAGCTTTTTTTAGTCAGTCCAAAATTACGCCAAAACTATTGGTTCGGTTGCTGACAAAAATATATCAAAGTGAGCGTCTTATATAGCCCAACAAAATTAAAGGAGGGTTTAATCGTCTCATTTTTTATAACTCAATTTATTTTCCTTTGATGCTAAAAAAAGTGATTTTTTTCTTAAAAACATATATTAGACGTTTCGAGCAAATTTTTGGAGATAATATCTTTCTTTAATTCTGTTGGGCTACACAAGTGGCTCACCTCCATTTTTTTGTGGAAACTCGGGCTCTAAATTTTACAACTTCAAATTGATCTTCTTATAGAGCCCAAAAAACTTATAGAAGAGTTTTATCTCGGAAAAATTTCAGCAAAACACTTTTAAATTGTTTTCAAATCAAAAATTGTTTTTTTTTTGTACAGTAAAAAGGACACTTTTTGTCTATAAAACAAAAATAAATTAATTTATACGGTTTCTTCGAGATTATATCCTTTTAAAAGTTTGTTGGACTATATAAGAGGCTCACTTAGAAGTAGATTTGTCAGTAATTGACACTGTAGGTTTAGCGTAACTTTTTTTTGACTAAATGCCAAAATTAAATCATTTTTGAGGTAAAAACTTTGAGCCTGAATTTCAATTAAAAAATTATACCGTATCAATTCTGCTAAAATTTTAAGCAAGTTAGGTTTTCATCATTTTTTGTCCAAAGTCAACCCAATTTCAGAAAAACAGTTCAAGTTTTGTGCACTTTGAAATTTAAATCGGCGCTGTATAATTCGAAAAATTTATGCATGCAAAAAAAATCGTTTTATAAGTTCAAATTTGCATAGACTTTGAGTGAAAAATCGCAATTGATCACAATTAATTCAGTTTGCTCAACTTTTTTGCAAATCTCTATAATTGCGAGTCAGATAAAAAATCAATTATAAATGGCAATCCGCCATTTTGTAACAAATTTTGCATATAAAGTTGAGCTTTCAGACAACCTTGACATGTATATTTTATCTGAAAAATAAGTCTTGGTATGCAAAATGTTTCTGAAATAGGCCATTTGCATTATTTTGTTAATTATTAATTTTTTTGCTACTCAGCAACGGCAGCCCTAGTCCAGAACTGACTGTCTTTTCCATACGGCCCTGTTTTTATGATTGGAGAGAAAAAAATTTTTTGGGAGCTCAAAAAATTATATTACATTTAATAGCCTCATGTATTTTGGCGGCGGTCTTTCGTAGGACTTTTTTTCTTCAAAAAATACGAAGAAATAGAATCCTTAAAAAAACTATCAATAAAAAAATTCTATCAAGACTCTCTTAATATGATATCTAAGCTTTCACAATGTAAGGCCAACGGTGTGCGACAGATTAATTTTTTTTTGTTCAAAATGCGGTGTTTGTTGAAATGCGGTGTTTTTCCTGATCTTCGATACAATTCGCTGAAATTTTCAAAATGTTTGTCGAGCTTTGTGCTAGTCAAAACAACGCTGAAACATTGTTTGATGTGTTTTGTAGGTGTTGATGTTGCACAGTGCCCAGTATTACGACTCAGAGGACGAGAAGTTACTAATGGCCACTGGCATCCGACTGTCCCGAGAGGACCTGGCTAACTCGGGACTGCACGAGTTCGTGGAGCCCATGTTCGACTTCGCACGCTCCATGGCAGAGCTCAAGCTGGACGAAGTCGAATTCGCACTCATCATCGCGCTCTGCATTCTCGCATCAGGTACAGCAGCATAGTCTAGACACTATAGTAACACGTACAAAGGTGCGCATGTTTAAAACGGGGGTTTGGAGGTCGAATCCCGTAGTCTCCGCAGTTTTTTTCACAGAGCTTGTTTTTTCAATGCTTAATTTTGTATTTGCTTGAACTGTAAAAGCAGGGTGCCCGATAAGTTGGTTTTAATCCCCCGTTTTAAACATGCGCACTTTTTTACGTGTTACTATAGTGGTCTTTTTTTGGTTTTTTTCTGAAATCGGTTATGGATTTATTGAGAAAAAAAAACATTTTTATTAACGCTTTTTTTATTAACGTTAACAGCTCGAAATTTTTTCTCACTAACTTTGAAGGGTAACGCGCGCCATAAAAATGCGTTTTTCTGTCAAAATTCCCAAAAACATCACTTTTGGCCTGTTTTCTCAAAAATCTGTCTGCGGAGCAGAAATTTTGGTCAAAATAGTGTCTTTGTAGTGTTTTGAGAGAGCTGAGAATTCAATAATCAGAGTTCTTTAGTAAAAATATCAAGTCGGTTTTTTCAAAATCTTGTTAGGCAGCCTGTTTAAAAGCTTCTTTTTGCCGTTTTTTGTTTGTTTGATCTAAGGACAAAATATTTTCTCATCGTTTGAGTCGCAATCAATGAAAATTGTTGCACATTTTTCAATTATGTTAATTTTGAAATTTTTGAAGCTTTCTTTCGAATTTTAATTTTATGTTTTTCTCATGTGTGTCACAGATCGGTATGGACTCACAAGGCGAGACACTATTGAGAAGCTACAAGAACCCTACCTGGAAACCCTGCGCGTCTACTTGAAGCAACGTCGTCCAAAGGAGATGCTCATACTACCAAAGATGCTGATGAAGTTGACAGAACTGCGATCGATAAACAACCAACACTCCGAATATCTATTTGGCCTGAAGCTTCGCGACCAGGACCTGCCCCCGCTGTTGAACGAAATTTGGGATCAATAATAATGATTGTAGATACAGAATATTATCAATGCTGCCCCCTACATGAATTCCAATATCATTACCTCTGCCCTACAGTATTTCACCCTCTGCTGTTTTTTATGCATCTGTTGAAGCGAAAAGACTTCACACGAGGTCAAAAACACTCAAGAGAACTGTGCGCAGAAGTTTATAGAATGTTCTTCAGGCGTGCGGATGCTGCATTAGCGTTGGATCAAGACTTAGTCACACTTGGTAATGGTCATATTCTTGTAGTTGTGCTGCGGTGATAATTCACAGCCAGATGAAAATAAATAGCTTCAACTCGATTACCTCAGCTCTTTTCTTCTTCTCGTTACCTTATACCCTGACGACATTCAACCCCATCTTGTTAGCGTAGAACCAGTTTGCTAGTACTCAGACAAAATCATACAACTCACTCTGAAAACAACAAATATGATAAACAACTAACGTGACTTCTTCATATGACAAAAAACATTGACCGGAAATATTCTGTATTCTTTTTTTTACAACGACTATATGACAATAAAACTCAGTGAACTCTTTTTTCGCACTTTCAGCGAAATTGTCAATTTTTCATTTCCAATTAACTAATTATTTGTCCGTGCTAGTTTGTTTGAACCCCGCGGCCGTCTTTTATTTTTGTTATTTTTCAATTTCGTCCTTGTGCTGTTATATATTTCCTAATTGTTTTCTCTCATATAATGAAGAATATGAACATGAATCCATATTCAGTTTGACATCTGTTTTTATTTGGAAACGAAATCTCTACTTGAAACGGCAACCTGAAATCGGCTATTAATACCAAAAAATAAACAATTAGCACCACACTTAGAGCTGTTCTCTAAATCGAGACTCATAAATTGCCGTTTTTCTTGTCGATCATTTGTTCAGGGTCTACTTCATCCGTGTAATATTTGTAGTATCTCATGCAGTTTGAATCCTGCATCACAATTTGTTCTTTTTTTTGAAGTTTTTCGACAAAGTTTGATCCGCTTTATGTTATTGAAAGCAGAGATGTACTTGCTGCAGAATTTATGTTTTGTTCAATGTTATCCTAAACTGGAGATATCTTTCTACTTGTACCAAGCCAAGTCATTCGAGTTATGAGGTCTTACAAAATTTAGTTTAATGTCATATGTGCGATATTTTTCTGCTTATGATTTTATTTTACTCAATTAACTATTTGGAATAAACGTTTTTCTTCAACACTCACCATTAGAAGACACGAGAATAGCAAGAGATGGACCATTTTGATACAAGGTTATGAGGTGTCACCATTTTTCTGATCGACAAAAAGATTGTAAGGGACCGTTAGAATATTCAAAAATGAGCATATCCCACCATTTTGAAAATCAGTCATGAAAAACTTAGAGGAGGTTGTTAACAATACTGAAATGAAGAAAGAAACCGAAGCGAGGAAGAAGATAAGAATTCATTCGTGTAGAGGTATCATAAGAACGTATCGAAGATGAAGCTGTTGATACCGCAATGATAAATACAGTCAGAATAAATGGCAGAGAGGAAAAAGCTAGGGGGAGTACAATGAACCAAGAACTTTTCTCAGGACCAATTATTTTTTTCAGGCGATGCAAATTCAGATCTCAAAAACGATCTGAAGACTTGAGCTACAAACTGGACTTCATAAAAAAAATTGTTAAATCGACTGATTATGCGCAATGAAACAATATCAGTTTATTACTAATAGGGGATAGCAATTCCAATTTCCTCAATGTAAACTCAAGAAGTGTTTCAACTTTGCACTCATCCAATTTAATGTGAAATAAAAAGCCTTGCCTGCTCATCCAAAAATCTCAAAAAATAACTTACTCATTGATCAAAGTTTAGAAGGTTGCATTTGTAAAACTACGTAATAAGCTACGCAAAAAAAACGCTTAAGCTTCGGCACTGATATTTTTCAAAAGTTTTCAAGACACTTTTTCGAAAAAAAAATCCAAAATAAGGAATTATTTGTTAACATGAGATTATTGCACATAAAGACTAAAATTACTAAAATGTGAGTTTTTAAAGCTACAACTATTGAAATCAACAACCTTTAAACTACTCTTTTGGCTTCCAAAAAGAATTATTACTAATTACCATAGTCTTTTCAATTTTGTCTGTTTTTTGATATTCAGTTACCACTTTTCAGAACCCTGAGCCTTTTCTCAAGATGTCGAAAAATTAACAAAGATGGGAAAAAAGAAAAAAATAAGCAGTGATCTGACATGGGAAGAAAAGTTCGAATAAAAACTTTTTTAAAAAAAGTAGAAGAAACAGGAATAATCATACCAAATGTTTTATACTCTGAAGCGTTTTTAATTTGTTCTCACCTGTATTAAAGTACAAAAAAGTCAAGTGAAAATGTAGTGAATGTAAACTTAGGCAAAGGATAGGTTGAACCGTTAGTCCTAGGACCTGCCTTGCGGAGATTCACTGCAAAAAGTGCACAATTAGTAAAAGAAGTGATGTTCATGAGGGGGAAAGGAATTAGTCGTGGAAGATTGACACGAGAGACGAATTATCGAGATCCCGCGAAACAACTGTGGCGTTGAGAGGCAAGATGTGAAGATGTGGGTCAAGTGACAGTTGAAACTGTGATTATGGATAATCCAATCATCAGTCGACCAGTTTAGTTCAGGAGGAGTTCGCACAACAGAATATTACTGAGAAAAAGACCCCAAAAGCGAAGAAGAACACCCTGGTCTAGATGATGAGACCACCTCATCACCTTGCGGGTAATTTGATTAAATTCATCTTACAGATCAATGAAAAATGGTGGAAGCTGGTTTGACAAAAACAGTGAGAGACTAAAGCTTATAATAGCAAAGTAAGTTAAATCGCTTAAGTATGGAATAAGACAAATGCAAAGATGAAACCGAATGGAGTAATCGAATTGAATAAGCAAACGATACCAAACAGTAACTTTTTAGGTTTGGTAGAAGAGATCCAATTCAAGCGAATTTATGGTATCATTACTAGTCAGAGAATGCAAAAAAAATTTTAACTAACACTAAATACAGTAGACAACAACAAAATACTTCAATGCAATAACTCAACCAATGTTATATACTCCGCGACATAAGTTTAGAGACAAAACAGTGTTTTTAAAACCATTAATTTCTCGGCAACTTATAACACTAGAAACATGAATTTTGGTACGGAGATAGACGAACATATCAAAGCTACGGAATATTTTAATAGTAAATTGTTTCACCTCCTCAAGCTAAAAAGAGCTCGAATCTTTTTGCAGAGATTTCATCAAATTGACTTTTGTTTTTCGTTTTAGCCGACCAGCAGCTGCCTGGATTTCCGCTTTGAGTTGTTGTTTCGTTTTGAGTTGTTGTTTGCGGGGCATTTCTTCCCTACTGTATCTTTCATGTACTTCCAAATATTTTTAATTGTCGAAAGATCGGGGGAGTTTGAAGGCCATTGCATTATGACAACAATTTATTTGGTCCTGACACCATTTTATCGTGAAATTTGATGTATGCGCTCTAGCACCATCTTGTTGGAGAACCCAACCTCTGGGAAAAGGGCGTTGGCATGTAGCAAGAAGTCTTGGAGGACCAAACAGTACGCTCGGCTGTCGATATCAGTACTTTTGGCCTCAGCAATTGTCAAATACACTCCTTTTTCTGAGAGGGCAGCCCAGACCATAACAGACACGGAAAACTTCGGGACTGGTATTTGATCCACATTTCTCGTTTTGTCCAACATTTTTGAGTCTTCCCGTGAAAGTAAAAGAGACATTCGTCTGTAATAAAGATGTTATCAAACAAAAAAATTGCGTTTTCCTAAGCAGAATTCAACTCGTTTTTTCATATGTTCTGTCAAAAAGGGCTCATTTTGTCTCTTGATTGTGTCAAACCCAGACTTCTTCAAATGCCTCTGAACTGTTCCGGAAGCAACTTTGATACTTTTTCTTCTTTTTAAAATATTGACTGCTTTTTCAGCTGCAAGAATTTGGATAGTTATTGATGGTTTGTGTGAGGCTCCGCTCATCATCAAATTTGAAAATATTTGTCAAGTTTGCTGGGCGGCCTTGTCTTTTTTTTATCTTGCACCGATTTTTTTTTCATAATTGCCAAAACTATTCGTTTTACAGTTGCTCGAGACAAGCCTGAGGCTTGTTGCAGAAATGCAGGTTCTTTAAGACCGCAATCGTTAAAGTGTATGAGTTTTAGTTTCACGTCTTTAAACGCCATTTTGGAGATAAAATTCAAATACATTTGATTTTTCACGCGCGACGTTTAAACAAAACACTTTTTACCGCAAAACTATGACGCACGATAAACAACTGCATGATAATTTTTTTATGAAAGATTGGAAATTGAGAACTGTTTAGAGGAGAAATTATGAAAGTTTAGAAAAAGTGTTTACTTCTTGGAAGACTGAAAAAAATGATTCAGATTCTTCTGTTAAACTTTCATGTGTTTTTAAGATACCATGTGCTAAACAAACAACTGTAGACTAATTTTCCTTGGATTGCCACATTTTCATAATAGTAAAACTATACGCAGTAGACTAGACGATGATGAAATACTTCAACCTACAACTCAACCAATGTAATAACTGGTCAGCATTTGATTTTTAAATCTCAATAACTCTCTTCAATAAACCTGACCAAAGTATTTGGAATTGAAAATATGCATGACTGCAAAATATTAACTTTGGAAATTGTTTTTTTTTTGATAGAAGAAAAACGTTTAGCTCTATTTTGGCTCAAAAAACATTAAATTGAAAAACAAATTGGCCAAAGTTTTGATAAAAGTCCATTTGCAATAAGTTCTACAAAAAAATTTCAGGATGACCGAGCAAAATAATTATCGCCCTCACAATCATAGATGTCAAAATAAAAGCAAGATTAATTTTAGAAGCAACAACTAACAAAAACAACAAAGTTTTAACTACTCCCTGCGCTTCCAGCAAGAATTAAAGCTAATTACGATATTCCTCTATATTTTTGTCTGTTTTTTTCATAAATAGTTGAAGTGTTTCTTTTGTTCAACCCTCGCTAAATTGTGCGATAAACTTTGTGAAAAACAAAATTAATTTTTTTTAGCGTTCCCAAGATTTTTATCTAATGAAAATGAGTCGATGAATCTTAAACGCACATCGAGTTTCAAAAAAGTGCCTCTGAAAATTGTTATGATAAATTGTTTTATCTATTTTCAAATTTATCATTAGCAAACGCAATGTTTTTTTTTTTTAAATTTGTTGCAATACAAGCCAATTTTTACTAAAATTTACTACAAAATTTCAGGTTATTTTTTCAGACCATGTAATATCGGGATCTCAAAAACAATTGTTAAACACAAAGTTAAAAAAAATGGAACTCATGGAAGAAAAAGTTGTTAAATTGATTGATTATGCGCAAAACAGTTTCAGTTTTTCTCTCATCCATTTAACGTGAATTAAAAAGCCTGGCTCGCTCATCCAAAAATCTCCTCAAATGATTACTTAAAAACTGATCAAAGCTTAGAAGTTTGAAATTGTAAGAATTGTTTAACTTTCGACACTATAATAGTTTCTCAAAAATTCTTGAGAAAAACATTTTCAAAAAAGTCAAGTATGAGGAATTCCGTAATAGCATGAGATTATCACACATAAAGACATCACATTTTTTTAAATCTAATTTTAAAAGCTACAAAAAACAAAACCAAGAACCTCTAAGCTTCTACTTTGGCTTCCATCAAGAATTATTGCTAATTACGTTAGTCTTTTCAATTTTTTTGGTTTTTTGAAATTTAGTTGAGGCGCTTTTTTTTCAATCCTTCCTTGTATATGTGATACTTTTTAGTGAAAACTAACAAACTTTACGCTACCATGGGTTAAAAAACAAAATAATTTTACCCGGGTTGGCATAAGTTTTTTCTCATAAGAAGGTTTGGTAACTTTGTTTGGTGATCGTCTGTAAAAAAATTTCTCGTAAAGTAGGATATTTTTGACGAAGAAAATAAATATTTTTACGTTTAAACTGATAAAGTTTAGCATAAAAACATTCAAATGTCAAACACAATCAGACAGCGGGAAAACAGAAAAGTGGAATTTATTAGAGAAACTGTTTAATGACTTAATCAATGGAATCAAACAACTTCAAATTGCTCTTATCGAGATTATAAACTTCAATTGATTACGTTATAATAGATCATAATTTAAAAAATTGAACAAGAAAACTGCGTAATGAACGTAA